TGAGATAACCGTTGTTGTGATTTGGCGCTATATAAATTAAATTGAATTGAAAGGTTTTGAAAAAAGTTCAAGTGGGCGTCCTGCCGGGCACCCGCTAACTCGGCAAAAATCCACATCTTTTGCCCCTTGCTCTCCCCAGGCAACCATCTTCCTGGTGGTGGGGGTCGTTTTCATGATCGGCAGCTTGTCGATGATCGTCCTCGACTGGATCCACAACCCCCCGGGCTCCGGCGGCGGCCATTAAGCCGGCTTCCTTCCCCCCCGCTCTGGATTCATATTTATGGGTGGAGCTGCCAGCGTCAACCCGGCCGCCCTGCTTCTTTTTTGTTTTTTCTTTGTTTTTTTTCCCCTCTCTTCATCGAATCGATACCCCGTAAATGTTTGACGTGCGGACGGGGTGCAGACCACCCTGTGGTCATCACATCACTGGAGGGGAGATTTTTATTTTTATTTTTTCATTTTATTGCACCCGCCGGTGTAACATGCCATCAACAAAACCTGAAGTCCTCAATGACCCAATGGAATCATCCTTCGTACTTCCAGCTATGAAGAGACTGAGCTAAACGGACCTGAAGCAGGTCTGGGAGCTGCCATTGGATTGCTCAGGCCTGGAAAGGCGGACACCCACTTCCAGCTGTCCTCCGAACTTTTTAAAAAGAGACATTTCAAAGTGGAGTGTGATGTCATTTGTGGAAACAAAAAAAAAACAAAAAAACACACACACACACAAAAAAAAGCACTTCTAGCATTAAGATTCACTTTTTTTGTGCGTGTCGATTTTTACGAAGGCACGTCAACGTGTCTCAAAGTGTATTTTCAAGCTCCTGTTCTTGAAATTTGACGTAAAGAAAGGAGTCTAGCGGCAGTGACCGGTCAATCATTTAAAGTCTCTCACTCTCGGGGCGAATTTACAATCGGAAACCGTTGCCAAAGTCTGCTCGCACACACACACATACACACATATACACACAACCGGGGGCAGAGTCGATGCTAGAGCTTTCCGGGCTCCACAATCTCAAGGATCGTCCTCGCCTGCTACTCATCCCAGCCGTTCATGTGAAGCCGGTAGGCGCTTTCAGTATTACTGTCACAGAGGGACGTGAACACGCAGGGTACGAATGTACATAATCCCGCCTAATCTACTGGAAAAAGTAGTGTTGTACATAATGTCATAGCGGGCCCCCCCCCCGTGGCTCTCGCTCGTTCATGCTCTGTGAAAGTTAAAGACGGTCATATCAAGCTGTACACATGCTGGAATAATTTATTAGGCACTTAACGGGGCTAGACTTGTCGACGTGAAATGATGTTACTTTTCGAAGAAAGAAAAACAGTCGCCAATGAAATTGTTTTTATTTTTTGAAAATTTTTTTTATTTGCAGATTTGACTTTTCCGCTGAGCTGCTGGTACTTGAAGTGACATCCAGTTCAGCCGGACAACACAAACGTGAGATATAGATTTTTAAACCGTTTTCAGGAAAAACCTTTTTGTGCCACGCGGCTCTCGTCGCCGACTCTCTCCCGACGATTTTCGAGGATTTTTAACGTGCATTTTAACGCCACCATTCGCTATTTGTCAAAGAAACTTTGCATTAGAGAAACAACTACATGCAGGTCGAGAAGGCTCTGATGTTTGGGTGCTATGGGGGTAGTGTTACAGCCAGCAGGTACAAGGATAGGAAGACATTTTTCTTTTAAAGTCTTCATAAAACCACAATGTAACACTTCTATGCAAACAACACCGTCTCATTAGAAATATTGTTTAAGCACTGGTTAAATATTAGGACCTGTATATTTACAATATGTGCCTATACAGAACAATGTATTTTACACTTAAACTCAGGTCAAACTGATTTAGATGACGCCTAGTAAATATCTCAGCCATGCGTGCTAAGTGTTTTAAACAGGTGCTTAGGCGCCATTAGCATCCCATAGCTACAGTAGTCCCCATGTACCAACAGGTATCTTTAATTCCCTTTAAAAAATGTTAATAAAATCTAGCATTTGGGTTACATACAGTACAAGACATGTTAAAACACTTAATTAAGCGGCTGTCATTGCTAGCTGTGTGTCTCTGTTTCCGCTCATGCGAGGCCTCGCTAACCTATTTCTAGCTAGCATGATAGCAATTGAGTAAGCGTATCTTCCCATCTAAATGTCAGCAGTTAATTAATTGACTGAGATCCCACATGCAAAAAAATCCTTTAAGAGTAGTGCTCGAGAGTGATGGCAGATTAAACCGTACAATTTAAAGATTACTTCAATTTTTTTTTTTTTTTTTTTTTTATTGATGGGCTCAAATGAGTTAGGGAGCTCCACTTTTAAAAATGTTTTGATACCTTTTAATCTAAATTATGAATGTGGCAAATGGGAAAAGTCCCAAAAGGATTCGACACCGTTTAAATTGTGCCTTTCTGATTCTTTCCTTTTGTTGCATTGGGCTACAAATACAGGTGCCTTCAGCAGAATAGTTGATGACTACAGCCGAAACCTCACATTTGTCTCGTTTCACCTCTATTCCTGTGCTGTTACGTGTCGCGAACACATCCAGCCAAAGTGGACAACGTTTATAGATCCTTTTGTGGATCTAAGTATGTGAAACAAATAGATATTTCAAATGAAATAGTGTATTATGTGCATGTTATTGGACAACAAAGCTGGTCCTTTTGGACAACTGTACATACTTTGTAAATAATGTTTATTTTGTGGTACACTGAGACTTTGGTTGTTGGGGAAATGTACCTGAGAAGTCATCTAAAAATCCGGTGTTAGTTTTAGTATGTACGTGTGTGTGTGTATGTATGTGTATATATATATATATATATACCCACACACACGCACACACACACACATGTTGGACGGTCGTATTGTGTATTAGACCTTTTTCTTTCTTGCTGTATGACAGATTTTTCTCCTTTCTTTTTTTTTTCTCTTCTTGATTTGATGATTGTATATTTGTAGAAAGTTAGTTTCCCACATGTGTGTTTTTATGTCAACGTTTCACCGAAGCGTGCATCGAATCGAAAGGCAGTACTTCTTTTAGTTTTATTTGGTTTTTAACGTGCCGGCCCTAGTTTAGCAACATTGAAATCGAAAACTATGCGAAAAATAATCAGTCTCCCAGGAAAAATTCCCCCCCCCCCGTCTGACAGTGAATTCCTTAAACAAATGTTATGCTGTGACTTTATTAACCTTCTGCATCTTTTCATTGTCGGTTTTTACCTATTTGAAGGGGTCATCTATACAGAAAAGTGCAATTTTCTTTCTTTCTTTCTGTTTTTAATCTTTATCAGCATACCCCCCCCACACTACACATGGATGGAATGAGGATCTCAGGTATTTGATCTTGATTTGTCCTCACAATTTGAAAGGGTTCTGTTTCTCTCTTGCATTATTGAGCCAAGCATAGAACTGCCCACCTTACGCTGACCACAAATAGAGACGTGTATTTTTCTATGGACCCTCAGCGATGGAGAAGTCATGGTTCAATGTTTTCTGATGTCCACATTGCTTTTTCTCGCTGTGGATCGGGCTAAACATTCAGATTTTTTTTACCTTAACCGGACAGTTTTATTTCCTTTTTTTTTTTTCTTCTTTATTTTCTATCAGTGATGCTGTTTTATTATGATAAACAATAAAAATGTGAAATAAAAAACAAGATTTTCTGTCTTTTTTTAAATTTTTTATATCTGCTCTGACCTTCAAAAAAGCTGCACGAATATGCGAATAGGTACACATTTTAAAATTTAAAGACTCTGGAAGGAAAGTAAATTGTCACACTTATGTGTCTCTGTCCTGACTTGGGTCTGGGAAAGTTGTGACGAAACCCATATTTCTGGCATAGCAATTTGATGTTACCAGACCTCTGGAAATAATGTACGTCTTCCTGTTCATGTGTAGCTGGCATCTACTGTAGATATGTAACACTTCCTTGTAATGTCCCACTCAAATTTCGAAATTATGCAACCTCAGATCACAACCGGCCTGGAATATATTATATTTTATTGGGTTAAAATTCTTAATAGTTAAATATTATTTGCTAAAATAAACTCTGACAAAGATAATTGCCATCTATAGAATCGTGTTTTGAAACTCTCCTTTTTTTTTACCGTTAACAAACCCTAATTTGAAGGAAATTGAAGGAAATTCTCACATTTGCACTTTATTTTATGGACGACTTAACTATTTAGATTGTTGCACATCGACTCGGACCAGGTCCATTAAGTTAGACCCCGATCCTAACTTCTTATAAACTACAATAGATTTGTTCCCACAACTGGCAAAATACAGTAGCATCACAAACTGCTGCTGAAAACTGAGAAAAATCTGTGGAAATCTGCAATTTTGCAGAGTGATGTATTAAGGGGTCATTTCTTTTCTTTTTTTTCTTTTTTTTCCTTTTTTTTTACCATCCATCCACTCTGTTTTGCTCTAAATCCTGTTGCACAACATTCCTGATTCGGATTACAATATGGCTACCAAGTCAATTAAATGAAACTGCAAATGGTTCACATATAAAAAAAAAAAATTAAAAAGCACATTTTTTGCTACAGTTGTGAACTCTCTTTTTTTTTTTCCTGACCTCTTTGACACTGTAATGCCAACACCTCTGCCAACGCGTTCACACACACAAACCCCTGTTGCTTCCTATGGCTACCCCCCCCCCCCCCCCCCCCCCCACCACCACCCCCTCCTAAATCTTCTTTTGACGCGGATTAACTGTCCCGTTCGGTACAGTGGGGTAAATTCCAGGAATGCCACCGTCGTTAATAACCTACTATCTGTGTGGGAAAAAATTCTCGGCGGCACCAGTCCTGCTAAAAACCCACGCTCACCTCTCCTGTACGCGGGTAAACGTGCAAAAGCAACCGGCCCCCCATCAAAAGTTCTCTGCGTTTGAGGCCAGGCCGGCGCCATTCAGTCACTGGAAAAACACAACAAGGTCCAACAACTGTGTGCTAGTTAACCTGTCCCATGTTGATGTACTATAATAGAATACTGAGTTCTATAAGACTCAGTAATGTAACAGAACGCTCAGTTACTTAGATAATTGTTCCTTGCTGTGTATGTCACCCTGCAATCTCATTGTCAATAAGCTGCTGTAAAAAGAGTAGATAGAATAACAGATGACGGAGGAAGCGTGGTTCTGCTCACAAACAGGAACATTCAGAAGCAGGAAAGAAGAAAAAAAAGGTGTTTGCGGTTTACGGTGTGAATCTGAAAATGTGTTTGTGTTTCACAGGTTTG